AGAGCCTTTCTCTACTAGGCTCCCTGATTGAATTACTGTCCTAATGGCAGTGGTTCTCAGGACCCTTTATTCTTTTTTTTAAATTTTTTATTTATTTTTTAATATATATTTTATTGATTTTTTACAGAGAGGAAGGGAGAGGGATAGAGAGTTAGAAACATCGATGAGAGAGAAACATTGATCAGCTGCCTCCTGCACGCCCCCCACTGAGGGTGTACCCGAAACCCAGGTACATGCCCTTGACCGGAATCGAACTCGGGACCCTTGAGTCTGCAGGCTGACGCTCTATCCACTGAGCCAAACCGGTTCTGGCAGGACCCTTTATTCTTAATCATTGTTGAGAATCCCATACAGAAACAAAAATCCACATTATTTTCATAATTTTTTTTCAGATAATTTTGCATACTCACCAAAAATGAACAGTTTTTAAAATATATATATATATATATATCGATTTCATAGACGAAGGAACAGGGAGAGAGAGATAGAAACATCAGTGATGAGATAGAGTCGTTGATTGGCTGCCTCCTGCATGCCCCCATTGGGGATCGAGCCCACAACCTGGGCATGTGCCCTTTGACCGGAACCGATCCCAGTCCCCTTTAGTCCTCAGGCTGGCGCTCTATCCACTGAGCCAAACCAGCTAGGGAAAAAAAAAATGAACAGTTTTAATTAAGACATCAATGGTTAATTGCAGTGTAGAGTCTGAAACCTTAGAAGTAAACTTTTTGTACTCTGTTGCATTAAAACCCTTGGTCTATCCTGCACTTTGAGTGGATCATTTACTCATGCATGATTTTATAATATTATGACTTCATCATTTTGTTACCACCCTTTGGGGTTCTTGGGTTTACCAAGATCAAAATCGAGAGGAAACCCCAGAGAATTTCCCGATAGATTTAAGGTTATGCTCCAGCACAAGGGAGGCAGCACAGAGGAAAGAAAGGTCCTCTGAACTGGCTGGGGGGTGGCTGGGAACAAAGGGGGCTTGAGTGAAAAATTGGGCTTGTGAAGGTTCCAGGGAGTAGAAATTTCTATGTTGGGTTCCTTGGCAGCAGCCTCCCCCGCATGCACTGTGAGGGCAAGATTATAGTGTTGCTCATTACTGTCACCCCACAAAGGTCCTATAGCAGCCAAACCTTGATCAACTGCATATGTGGAGCAGTGGTTTAGACATTTTCTGGCCACCTGGTATATTTCCATTCCCGGGGCCCATGTCCCTATACTGACTCAACTTGGAGATATTGCTTCATGAATAATGTATATCTTCCAAATGTTGACTTTTTGTTATATTATCCTATATAATAAAAAGGTAATATGTAAATTGACCCTAATGGCAGAACAACCAGAATGACCACTCGACCAGTCACTGTGAGGTGCACTGACCACCTCTTGGTCCCTTCCCCCGGCTGTCAGGCTCCAATTGCCTGATGGCTCTCTGGGGAACTGGGGGGTGGGTGGCGGCAGGGGGTGGGGCTGGCTGTGGGCAGCCGGGGAAGATGGCACTGATCGCAGGCCAGGCCTAGGAACCATACCCACGCCTCTAGCCCTGTATAATAGAAGGCTAATATGCAAATGGACTGAACGGCCCAAGGACTGGTTGCTATGATGTGCACTGACCACCAGGGGGAAGACACTCAATGCTGGAGCTGCCCCCTGGTGGTCAGTGCGCTCCCACAGGGGGAGTGCTGCTCAGCCAGAAGCTGAGCTCACAGCTGGCAAGCGCAGCAGCCGTGGTGGGAGCCTCTTCCGCCTCCGTGGCAGTGCTAAGAATGTCCGACTGCTGGCTTAGGCCCACTCTTCACGGGAAGCGGGCCTAAGCCATGAGTCGGACATCCCCCAAGGGCTCCCAGACTGCAAGAGGGCAGGAGTTTCGTGCATCAGCCTCTAGTATATATGTATATGTATGTGTGTGTATATATATGTATATATATGTGTATATATATATGTGTATATCTATATATCTATATATATATCTATATATCTATATATATATGTCTATATAGTGTAAAAATATATATTAAAATTTATATCCTCACTTGAGGAGTGAGGATATTTTTTCCATTGATCTTTAGAGTGGAAAGGAGGGGGTGGGGGAAAGAGAGAGAGAGAAAGAGAGAGATTGACTGGTTGTCTCCCACTCCCACCCCAACCAGTGCTGGGTATTGAACTTGCATCCGAGGTACATGGAGGTACCACGTCTGGCTTGACTGGGAACTGAGCCCGAGACCCTTTATTCCACAGGCCAACACTCTAACCATGGAGAAAAACTGGCCAGGGCTGTACAATATATTTTAAAAATCACATTGATATCACCAGAAAAATCTTTACATATTAGGAAGCTGTGAAGCTTATGGTAGTGGATACAAGTTTTCCAGTCTATACTAATAAAAGGGTAAATGCTAATTAGACTGGACGTCTTCTGAACGTCCTTCCAGACGTACTTCTGGACAAAGCCACAGTGCTGCGAGGGCTGAGGGCAGGTCACTGCAGAAGCCTGCAGTGGCATCAGCAGCGGGGTGATAGGGGCGGCACCTTCCCCTGATCACCTGGTTGCCTCCCGCAGAGGGAGGCCAGAGGCAAGCAGCAGTGGCTGGGGGTGATGAGGATGCGCCTTCAGCAGAAATTTCTGGTCGCCTCCTGCGGAGGGAGGCCAGAGGCACCACCTTTGGCGGGGTGATGGGAGCGGCGCCTTCCCCTGATGGGCCCGGTCGTCTCTCACAGAAGGAGACGAGACTGCTCCCCAAGGAGAGTGGGCCTAAGCTGTCAGTAGGACATCCCCTGAGGGCTCCTGGACTGTGAGAGGGGGCAGGCTGGGCTGAGGGTCCCCCCCCCCCGCCAGGTCATGGGTGCCTGCGCTGGCCAGAGGGAGGGAAGCCTGGGTCCTGGGTGTGGGGGCCGAGGCAGAGGTTGTTAGGGCTGGTCAGGCAGGCAGGGGAGCAGTTAGGAGTGATCAGAGGTCTCGGGTACCTGCGGCTGGCACGGGCAAAGCCGGCCCAGGTCCCAGGTGCCTGCGGCCGACCGTAGGAGGGAAGCTTGGGTCCTGGGTGTGGAGGTGAGGCAGAGGCGGTTAGGGGCGATCAGGCAGGCAGGCAGGTGAATGGTTAGGAGCCAGCGGTCCCAGATTGTGAGAGGGATGTCCAACTGCCGGTTTAGGTCCTATCCCTGTGTGAGATCGGGCCTAATCTGGCAGTCAGACATCCCCCGAGGTGTCCCGGATGGAGAAGGTGCAGGCCAGGCTGAAGGGCCCCCCCCT